CTATGAGTAGCAAAATAAGAATAAATTTGCTTCTAAAAATTAGAAGGGACAACCAGGAAATTCTAGTGATACCAGTCTAGCAGAAAAAATACTATAGCAATGAAGATCTTTTCGTGATTTTTGATGTCGACTCCAAACCTGACAAGGATTAAATTCTTGATACGACTTGTAATTTTCATATATGTTCTAATTGGGATTGATTTTCTTCATATGAAACAGTTACAAGAGGTTTCATGTTGATGAGAAATAATGAACTTTGTAAAATAGTAGGTATTGGACAAGTTAGAATAAAAATGTTTGATGGGATGGTCAGGACATTTAATTTGATGAGACATGTTCCAGGTTCGAACAGAAATTTATCTTTTTGAGTACTCTTGATTCAAAATAGCACAGGTATATGTGTGAAAGTGGAGTTTTAAAAGTTAGCAAGTTTGCCAAAGTTATGTTAAAGGGGCGGAGAAAGTCTCGGTTATATGTTTTGAAAAGTTCAACGGTCACTTTTGATATAGCTACAGCTTATTGTTCGATAAGTGGTGTTGCTCGTGGTGATTCAAGTAATGATATTAGAGAACTTGCAGTAGTTCAAGTGCAGCCAGTTGTGATCTTGTGGATCATGTTGCTTATGGGGATAACTCGAACAGGTTTTGTGAATCACGTGGAGTTGGTAGTAATCGAGATGATTCAAGAAGTTTCAACGAAGAAGTAAGCAGGGCTTGAATTATGTTGACAGTTGTTGAGTGGAAGAGGTGAAAACAATTTGGAGAGTGAAGACTTAATTCTTTGCTATGAATTTTGTGTCAAGGTGGAGTTTGTTATGTTGTGACTTAAACTCCATGGAGAAAGCCTAAATAACTTTGTTTTGAAAGTCCGAGTTGATAAGGGATCAAGTTTGAGAGTTTGAAAAAAGACTTTGAAATGAATAAGGAAATATTTTGGAAGCATTGGATTCGAGATGGAATTCCTAGACGTCGAGTCACGACGTCGAGGCATCGAGAGAAAAAAATGAGGCAATGCATAGGTGTCGGGATGCCCAAGTGATTTCTCACCAGCAGCAGGCCACCACCTAGACGGGTTGAAAAAGTTTCCTACTTGATTTTCTACCATGTCTTTTGTTCTCTACTTCATCTATAACTCCAAAATTTGGCTCCTAAATATACTTCACAAGGTGTAGGCTCTTCATAGTCTCAATTAAAAGTATGATCATTAATGTATACATTAGAAACTTGAGATGACTGCTTAGATTTAAATTGAGAGTATTAAATATTGTAAAAACAATTTTAATTTCTTGGTATATTGAGATTCTCCTTATCTGCCCATGGATTTCTTGGATTTAGGTTCCATGCAAATCTTGTGTTCTTGTATGATCCATTATTTTCATATTGATCATATTATCCTCGTCTGTATTCAGGCCGATTTTCAACAGTAATCAATGGACTTGTTATCCCGTACACTTCTCTATGTATTTTTTATTTTTATTTTTATTTTTGTTTGAATTAGAATTGAAAGTTACATTGTCTTCCATGTTTTCAACGTTTTATGTTACTCACTTTTTCACTTATGTGGTACCTTTCATGTAGTGATGGAGCTAGAGAATAATGTTCGAGTGTGTTGAAATTTAAAAAATTCTTAATAAGCTGACACCATGAGAGATGATTGATGTCGTAAGAGATTTAGTTAGGTGGATAAGTTGGAGGCCACTAGTTGTATCCCACTTTAAGCAAGTTATGAGTCTAGATGCCAACTCAAAGATATTACACGATGTTTGTAACTTTCTCTGTCAAATAGAAATTTTGACGCTAACTCTAGAGAATGTAAACTGGCAAAAGCATGATTGGCAAGACTCACGAGCAAATAATATTTAGTCAATAATCAAAAACTAAGAAAATGGCTAACAAGTACAGCTCTAAGACACAAGTTCAAAAGAACTTTGACGACGAATCATTTCAAACAATTGAAAGTTTTGTAAAAACAGCATGTATATAACCCTTTTTAAAATTAGACGTGGGCATCAATCTTGCATACTAGCACAAGCACACTCCCACCCAAAATGGGGAAAATCGAGCTGAAATTTCGATGGTCCAAAGAAATTGAATTCATTTCATGGCTGTTTTTGGCTCCATGCTTAATAATTTACTTATAATAAAACTAACTTAGATTTTAATAATTTTTAATACTAGTCTTTTTATTGACAAAATTAAACATTGAACAAGTTACTTATTTTTATAAGGACATCTATTTTATGGTCAAACCAAGTAAATTTTTTACTTAGATACAAATAAGTGAAATGGTTGAATGATTAACCTATATTTTATTATACATTTTATGATCAGAAAAAGCGAATTCTTTAATTTACTCCACAATAATTGAAGCTTTTTCCATACGTTTTCCTTATCATCAGAGATCTTTTTCTTGTGCCAATCACTTAAGGCAACCAAAGATATTAATTTTTTGACTCGAAGCTTCTGCATATTTATCCAAGATCTCTTTAATAGAATTGCAATTAGTCTATTACTTTGCAGAGACAATATAATAATTTTAAAGCGATTTATACTTAAATAGGTCTATATCATCATAATAGATAAGCCATTATACATTATAATATAAAGCCTATGTCGTAACGTTTATCTCCTTCCTTGATTACTGGAATAATATTGAGAAAGCAGATTATTACTAAAATTAATTAGGTACCTAGCTAGCTACCTAAAATATTAAATAAATTACATAATAATTCTATTAAGTTATGCTACTAATTAATTGTTTCCAAATATTCCTGCATTTGTCCTTACTTTATTTCGATTTGTCATTTGTCCTTACTTTATTTCGATTTGTCTATTTCGATTCTTTTAATACAGGTTCAATAAGAAATCCAATTTAAACAAGAGTGACTTCAAGGCATTAATTACAGTGCAATAAAAATAATAGATAAAACAATTAATTAAACTCAATTAACCGTACCGCCTTAATTACCAAAAAGCAGAACAACCGATCATAAGATTTTAACTATAATCTTGTCTTGGATAAAAATAATGTTTGATTGGACTTATTTTTTCGACTGAAGTCGGGTTTGTGAACCATGCTTTCCTTAATGACGTGAGAGTTAATCGTGGATGTACATGTTGTGGAAACTCGACCGTTGAATGAAGGCTAGTTTGTGTGATATAAAGGGGTGCAAGCCCCCATACTTTGCACATTCGGAAATTTCTATATTTGTGTGTATTAAGGGATAAAATTTCAATATTATCATGCTCAAAAAAGTCATCATCTTACGGGTATATCAAGAGGTAAAATTTTACATCGAATAAAGATAAAAATATAGACAACTTATAATGGTTTGGATTATTTTTCTTAAAAATGTTGATATTTTAATATAAAAGTACTCAAAAGTCCTAAAAATGTACAATATGATTAGGTTCTCTCCAATCTAATCTCTCTCTCTCCCTCTCTCTCTCTTACTTTTTTTTCTTTGTTTCACTATAATATTGGTGCACGCGTCGGCATACAAAAATTAGACCGTCCTACTATTTGGCTTATTGGCGAGAAATCTGAAAACCTAAACAAAACCCCTTCATGGACAAAAACGTATAGGCGTAGGGTAGGCCTAATTGTGTGTGCCATGCAACTCAAAAGTCTCAATCTGAGGGCATATATATTTGGTAAACTTGTAACATTTACTTATAAATAAACATACAGGTTAAGTTACAAAGAATAATGCTATTCACAGTTTTTCATTAAAAAAGTCAATTTATGTGACATATATATGATAGATAATTATTTGATGCATCATGTCATGTATATATCATAGAGGACGACTGTCGTATTGAGCTACTGCGAATAACATTACTCAATTATAAGTAACACGGGTTATAAATTCTTAAAATGTTTAAAAATTAAAAAAATAAAAATAAAATTACTTAGCTCCTTTTAAGCATAATCAGGCATGCTTAAAAGTGGCGCTGTCCTCTCTTACACTTGCCTTTGTTTGGTAGCCTTTAAAGATAGTTTCTTGATGGAAAATGAGTTTTGTAAGAATGATTGTTTGGAAAATATGCAGTTCAAAAGTTAAAAAGAAATTCGGATTTTCTTTTAAAATATTTTATTATGTGAATGTGTAGTTAAAAATAAATTAAAAAAAAAATGAATGACAAACAAGGACTTAGTGTTTCTTCATCCACTTTTTATTGGCCAGGCTTGACTCCTCCTTAAGGTTTAGTTTCAATTTTAATAAAATTTATAATAAGTGAAAAAACCATAGTCAGGATTGCCGCATAAAGGACGACATAATTAAGGTGCTAAAGTTCATATTTGGTATAGATTAAAATCAAATTTTAATAAATTATTATAAAAGTTAATAAAATGTGAGATTGAAAATTTGTGGTTCTCATAAAATGTGTGATTAAAATTAATTGTGACTTTGAGTTGAAATTTTAATCAACTTTTTATCTACATCAAACATGAACTAAAAACGATAAGGAACTTTAATTATCAATTGCAATCCAGTAACATATCGTATTAAACCGAACTAAATCAAATTAGGTGTTTGGTGGGGATTAAAATTAAATTTTCTAGTAGATTGTGATAGAAATTTTTGAAATATGTGGTTGAAAAGTTGTGGAACCCGTAAAAGAGGTGATTAATAATAATTATTTGACTTTGATTTAGATTAAAATCAAATTTTAATATGTACGAAATGTTCATTTCATTTAATTTCCCCAAAAAAGATTCAACGAGAAAACATGTTACGGTAAACGAGAAAAAACATTCTTATACTAAAAGATGGCAATTCACTTCTCATAAGACGTTAGAAATATTGCATGCAACGAGGCATAAACGTCCCCCACGCTTACCTTGGTTTTGTGATTACATTACATTTTTACCTTTGTCCTCTTTGATCAAACATATATTTTTTA